TTTAAGCTAAGCTAATCTACGAAATTGAAATCGAAAGCAAGTAAAGCACGCAAGAAGATTAGAGAGATCAAGGGGGAAAGAGAGATTTTGGTTCACCGGAGTCATCATGATAAAAAGCACGCAAAAATAAAACCATTGCCATGTTCGCTAAAAACCCTAGGAAGTCAAATCAAACTCTAGCATGAATCGAGCAAGAATTCAACTCCTATCACACTTAGTCAAACATTCATGATCCAAAGCAACAATCTTTTCTTCCAAAATCTCAAGCACAATATCAATTTACCAAAGCAAGAAAGATATACGAGGTAATGGGGCTTAAGACTAAGTTACCCACTCCAACATGCACTCGGGAGAAGAAACGGAATCAAAAGCTTGAAACTTTGCTCAAAACAATGTCGCCGGAAAACTTGATTCATAAAGCTCCAAACCAAAATAAAAAAAGGAAAAAGAAAAAAATAGAGAGAATTTTCCCAACTTAAAAGTTGGGAAATGAGAGTTGTTTTCAAAAATACAAAGCATAATGTCCTTATATAGCTACACCACAAACACACACTAAAACACACACATTTAACAATTTAGCACTCGCTAGGTAGCAAACTAGTTCGCTAGGCGAATTTGTCTTGTGGTCTTGTGCACACTCGCTATGCGGCGAACGCGTTCGCTAGGCGAACTGGTCTTGTGATCTTATGCACACTCGCTAGGCGGCGAACGCGTTCGCTAGGCGAACTAGTCTTGTGGGTCTTGTGCACACTCGCTATGCGGCGAACATGTTCGCTAGGCGAACTAGACTTCCGGATCTCTTGCACAGTAATGACTCGATAATGGCTCGGGGGTTCTCGGAATGGTTCATGCTCTCAGAACTTGGCTCGATTTTTCTCTTCCATCTTCCAAAATGGACCTAAAAATTGCACCAAAGACACGAGAAAGTACGCCAAAATACAAACACCAAAGAGAAAATGAAAACACACGGAATCAACTAAAATGGACCGGTTAGACAAGTAAACCAACCTAAAACCGACTCAACTACACACATAAAACACATAAAAAGAAGCACAAAAACACAATAAACAACTCCCCCACACTTAGCTTTTTGCTTGTCCTCAAGCAAACAAAATAATAAGTAGTTCGAGAAGAAATATCGAGTGGTCCAAAGTTAAAACTCATGCGAAAATGAGACTTTCTTTATCATCCGGTAATCATAGAGTCAAACTCAGATTCGAAAACATGTTCCACACAAAATGAATTCATACAAAACAAAAATCTATCTCAAGTCATCCTACACATGATTTTCTCGATTCGCGCTCCCTATCGAAACATAAACGTGCAAAAAGCCAAATGAGGTCTACTCGACATATTAAGAAAATAAGAACAAAACCCATAAAGCCGACTCCCTTTCTTATTGTTCTTTTTCTTTTTTTTTTCTTTTTTTTTTAATGAGTTACTTTTTTTTCGAATGAGAGCCGTTATGACGATTATTACTTAGGTTTATCCTCGGGGTTTGTCCCCGAGTCTCCTAAGCTAGTTTCCCATACTCGTTGGTCCAATTTGCCTAGAAGACCAACCGAACCAAGTGGA